TATCTATCTATCTATCTATATACTACTAAAACTCTGAGATTGTTTGTTTGCTTATTTTCTCAGTCAAAAAATCATTCAAACTATTGTTCGCACTCTTTACGAAACTTCATTGGGCCACGGGTTACCAAGTTAGTGCCGTTTTTCTGGTCACTTTTATGAAAATTTCTAGCATGAGTTAATTTTACATCACACTACCATTTACGCTCTTTGCAAAACTTCTTTGTTCAAATTTATTTCCCTGTCAGTGTTCCCATCTTCATTAAAAGGCGTAAGATGACAAAAACAAGATCTTGAAGAATTTCTCAGTAATGTGCTTGGTTATGGTAGGTATATCGAAGTGTTACTGTTTCTTATTTGTAGAAGGTTTAAGAGGAAAGACCACAACATAATAAACTAATTCATCACAATACCTGAAAACTCTGACTTCACTTTTTGAAAAATGAAATGGTAATTACTTTTACTCCCGATCAGCAATCAAATATATTTTCTTGAATTATGAATAATATGAATGGATTGAAATATTTTATTAAATTATCTCAAAATAAACCTTCATTTCGGTGCAATATTGAAATTAGCTTGAATTCTTCATAACCTCTGAATAGTGGGTGACCCAACGGGTCACGGGTTGTCTAGTTTTCTTTTAAAAAGAAATGCATTTTAATGCACAGTATTCATAATCTGTTATTGGAGTTCATTGTTTGAAATAAACTAAAGTTGGATTGGCTACATTTGGCAAGTTTCGTGCATTATATGAATGTTTGCATTAATTTCATATATTCCTGGTTTACAAGTTTGATATGTGTTTTTAATAGCTCCAAGTCCATCTGGGAAGCAGTAAAATTGCCTGCATGGACTGCAGACTAGCAGTTAGCATGCCAGACTATGAAGCTAAGAGTCTGTGGTTCAGGTCCCGTTACTGCAAAAAGAAACATAATTACATTCCACACTGGAGTCATGAGTACATTATAAATGTGGTGGTCAAACCCCACTAATTGATCTGACAAGAGTAGTCAAAGAACTAGTGCTAGCTGGTGTTGACCAGCTGCCTTCTCTTTAGTGTATCACTTCAAAATTGTGGATGGCTTGCAGGGAATACTCTGATGTAGCTTTGTGTAAAATCCAACAAAACAAACCAACTAAAATCAACAATAACTTAATATTACTGCTTTTTAACTTTTGTGTTCATTACTTCACTTCTTGCAGAGAAATCATCATTTGAAAATGAGTTCTTCCCTTCTACTTGTGTCAATATTTTAGTAAAAGTCCATTACATTTTAGGAAGTAATTTGTCTGTAGAAGACCTATTTTCAGTGAAAAGGTAGTCAATATACAAAAAAAAAAGTCAAAAGTCATGTTTATCCTAATACCAGTTGTAAGTGTAAAGTTAGAAGTTTGTGATATACGCATGAAAGGCAAACATTATGGACGTCATCATGATGGGAATCCTGTTAAATATTGTTACGTCTCTGGTCGTTTGTTAATTACTCGTAAAAATGACTTTCAAAGAACTTCAGCAATACAAGTCCTTTCTCAAATAATACTAGTTTATTCTTTCTCAATTCAACTTTACAATACACTTAATTTCCACAGTCACCTTAACTTAAACATGCTATAATTTACAACGAACGATTCATGCACTTTACTTACTACCGCGCTCGACTCAATTGTCCGTCTATATCTTCAGTTTCTATCTGCTATACAATGTTGTTGTCACTTTATTTACCGGCTAATATACTATAAGAGCGCCATTCTAGCAACCACTAGGATGTTTGACAAGTTCCTCAATCTTTCTAGATACTCATTACGTGTTACCAGCGTCACGTGACTTCCGCTGTCGTAACAATGTTATGAGAATAAGAGGTTATCCAAAAATGTTAGAATCCAATCAAATGTGGACAGGAAATTTGTTAATCTGAAGTAATAATAAGAACAAGATTCTTTGTTTTTCATATTGTCTTAGATTGTTTAGTGATTGAGAGACTGATCAGACTTTAACCAACAAGTGTCACAAAAATAGTTGAATAACATTTATTGTTGTTTGTACTAAGTATGCAGTATCATGAACATGTTGAAAACTTTTGTTACAGTTTAAATCAAGATCAAAAGTAGACTTGCTTTGGGAAGGCTTTTAATCAGTGCCAAAACAACATTTTGGGAGTTTCAATATGTTTTTTTGAAGCAAGAGACTGAACCCTAAACTTGTGCAAAGTTTTATATAGGAAATTGATTTAGCATATTTTCTCTTGTTAAAAGTTACCACCAAATCATGCAGTTTCTTTACACCAAACTAATAATTTTAAGGTTAAGAATTAAGAAAAATATTTATGTTGACAGTCAATTAAATTTTTCTTTAATACTGTACTCTTGTTTTGGTACATTAAGTAATATTTGTTTACAATACTGTTTAGATCACTTGTAATAATATCCTTTGTGTTAGAAATCATTGGCATTGGAAAGCTATAATCATGTAGTATGCAGATGCTTGCTTAATATTTCATATCTTTTTTGTTTAGTCAGTAAGATGAATATTTCAAGTTCAATCATTTTTCACACATACACATCTATGTGTGTATAGTTTTAAGAATAGAACAGTATCAAGGAATGTGACTATGTTCTTTTTACTCCAGCTACATATTGTTCTAGGTCATTCTCCCGTGGTGTCACCTGTGCCTTCTGTTGGAAAAGATTGCATTAATATATAGTACACTATATAAAGGTGGACAGTGATATTTTCCACTGGTGAATTGGGTGATTCCTTAAAGATATATCATGGCTCATATTTCTGTTGGAATGCTATAGTGATATATATTGTACATGCATCATGAGAGAAAAAATGTTATAGAACTCTGTACATAATGCTATGATCTCTTAGTTAGGGACATATAGATTTTGAATTAACCACGAGGCTAATCTGTGGTTCACCAGTGTAGTTCTGCCCTTTGTAAGTTCACTTGTACTTTGTTGTTTTGCAAGTGCAGGGGCAAAGTAGCCCACCAGGACACCAGGCATTTGCCCAGTGTGCTGATACATTTGAGGCATTCTTTGAAATTTATTTTAGATTTTAATTGTTTAGTCAGTATACATCATGTGATATTGCCCGGGCTGGTTCTTTAATGCCAATCCACCCTTCTGCAAGTAATAAAGATTGATTTTCACTTTGTTAAAATATGTTTAACCTCTTTCTTGTTTAAACTTATTCAAATTCAAAATTCACATTTACTGTGCAATACATTTCCTGAAAGAACCTCCTGCTATCTGCAAAAACTACCTAAATTATGTGTTTAGGAATACCATAATCTTTTGAGTGGTATTCTAACTCAATATGAATTTATTTTAAATTGATGACCTTAGTATTGATTAAGTATTCCTCTTATTTTTTTGTTTTGTGAAAGCAAATCTATAATTTTTTTCTTGCTTGTAAGAGTAGATTTTAATTGACTCTTAATGACCAGCTTGATAAACTGTACAGAAGTCCTGTTAATTTACTCTTTTCTGTCTGTGGTTTTTGTTCCCCTAGGTTTTGTGTATTCTGGTTGAGTAAAGAAAAGATAAGGTTTTTCAACAGTACTTAACTTTTGGCTCCACTTTGACACTTAAGAACAGAAATATTACTAGTTTTATTCTGTATTTTATTTTAACTAGCCATAATTTAGGATTCTATTTCTTTGCTACAAACTTAAAGACACTCAACATCGCCTGTTGCTTAGGGTTATATGTACAATTTTCGTGCCCTTTTGTGCCCTCTAGATGTTTTTAATGACCACATATAGGAAAAGTCACTTAATACACTGGTGGACAGAACTTTAAGCTTTGCAACACTAAAATCCATTATGTTGCTTTGAACGAAGACAATAACAACAACATTCTCTATAAATAAGAAATAAATTGTAAAGTTTGAAAACAAATCTTATCATTGCAATCAGGCTTCATTCACTGTCAAGCATCTAGTGGTTGTACTTTTAAATAAAACAGAAAAGTTTTGTGTGATTATTGAAATAAATCATTTTGTAAATCATTTTTACAGTTCTGGTTGTCATCATAACAAACAAGTTTTGTCACAGACCTTACATTGCTGAACTATAGGCTAGTTATGACACATGGATGTATTGTATTACTTCAACTAAGTCAATACAGAAAAATATATATTATATGAAATAATTTATATCTTAATTTATATGATAACATTACATTTATTTTTTGTAGCTGAATTAATAACAGAGTTCCCACAGTCCTTTAAAGTACTTGAATTTCAAAAAACAAAAAAAATCGAGGCTTTCAAAATTAGGAAAAGATGATAGAGGTGCTAGAAAGTCCTTGAATTTTCTCCATAGAGTGCAAAAACGTATTTTTTTGGAGATTCTGGCAATCACATTTGGAAAATTATGACTGCAACCCTGCTTGGTCTCCCACCATGTAACACATGTTAGGGGAACATTAATATAATGGAATATTAGTAGAGTGAGAATTGACAGTTAGGTGAGTTCTCTCATCTATCATTTGGCACCTGAATCGAAAATGTAAATGGGGGACAATGTTTACATAGTGTTGTTCAGTGTCAAAATTGAGCATTTCAATGACTTATTATGCCTAAGAAGGGTAAATTCCAGGAAACCTGGCTCAACAAAGAGCAGTATGAAGGATGGTTATGAAAAGATATTCATTCAGCATGGTGTGCAGCCTGTCAAAAAAAAAGTTTCAAGTTCGAGAGCATTCAAAGGCAGCCGGACATCACACAGCAGTGAAGAATCAAGCTGCAGGTAGACAGTTATATTCATTAAATTTTGTATGAAATTTCCAAAGTGTTTTGAAATGCTTTTTTTAAATGAAAAATATGTGAGTCTGGTAACCTGCAAAATTTTTGGAATGAGGCCTAGTGCCAGAGTGGACATATAGGCCTTGTCTAGATCTAACACTAGGCCTGTTCTACAGGCCTAACATTAAAATATTAGTTAGGCATAGAACTGTAAAATAAATGTATAAATCTAGCTGTAATCAGTACAGAAAGGCATAAATATGCAATGTTTTTCAAAGCTTCTCACATGACCAACAAGAAACATATCAACATTACTGTGCAAAGATGCTAGCCCTACAATATATTTTAAATGGCTGAAGCCCATATTATCTCTTACTTCTAGTTGCTGACCATGTGTTTGGATATATGCAATCTCCCTACATATAGGGGGATAGGGAAAAACTCATTTACATATTATTCAATTCTCAATTAAGTTTAATTCAGTTTGAGATTAGATAGCCCTAGTAACTGTCTCACATTAGAATTTTAGACTTGTATCATAATGAGCCTTGTCAATATAGCTACATGTAAATCTAAGCCACAGACCTCCAAAACATTTGCATGGTGACTAGTCTTTAATTATATATATTTAATAAAACTATATTTACACACACACACACACACACTGCAAGTTAATAGGTTCATATCACATTGGTAGGTTTTTCACACACAAGAATTTTTTTTTTCCACAGGTATCTCAATTCTGGACTTCATGGTTCCAGCCAGGCAAATCAAGCAGGAAGCTGCAGCCAAACCAGTAGCAGAAGCAGTACAGAATCCATCATCCATACCATCAGGAGGAGCATCACATTCCTTGAAGCTCTTACCTCTGGCAAAAGAAGACACTCTTAAGGTTGAGGTTTTATGGTGTCTTAAAATGATTGATGCCCATTATTTCTTAAAATCATATTAACAAATTGGTATGTGAATGGTAGGCTTGCATGTTACAGTGATTCTCTTTCCTCTGTTCCTCCTATGCAGAATGCTTTGGTAAAGATTGACTGTTTTAATATATATTTTCTTTGTTATTTTACATTGAATAATGATGTTATTGGTTAGTAACAATTTTATGAAATAAGTTATTTCAGTAATTTGTTACTTTGGGAAATTCAAGTTAAAAAGGTTTATTAGTGACTGGTAATCTGTATTAGTTTTAAATGTATTGTTCTAATCTTATAATCATCCTACATTTGGTAATGTTGTTTTCTCTTTATTTTCAGGTGATCTCTTCTCAAAAATGTTTCCTGATAATAGCATTGCTAGGGCTTTCAAGTGTGGAGAAACTAAGAGCACTTACATCTGTACATTTACTGGGTCACTGAATTTCAAGCAGTTGCTATCAAAGAAACTGTTAACAATGAAAGCCTGAATTTTAAAGTTCAATCCAAGCAATGTGATTTTCATGTCCTACTGTGGGATGGAGATACTTTGGTGCCAAGGTTCAATGATTCTCAATTTATGGGGCATGCTATGGCTGAGAATCTCAAGACAACATATGAAAAGTGCACTGATGCACTACCAAAACCCAATATGTTACAGATTTCTGTGGATGGACCAAATGTTAACTGATTATTTTAGTCAAAAGTTGAGCAGTCCCTTTGTAATGACCATGGTGTACATCTCATCAACACTGGCAGCTGTGATTTACGGTGCACTACAGAATAGAGTGGAAGTAACTGAGTCAGAGTGGCAGGTTGACAGTTTGCTCCATGCATTACACCAGCAAATGAAGGACAGTTCTGCTTATCAGGTAGATTATTTGAAAGCTTTGGATCACACAATCCCCCCCCCCCATACTACTGAAATTCTGCTGAACAAGATGGGTAGAAAACAGACCAGTGCTGAAAAGGGCTTTGGAGGTCTTGCTCAACGTTACAATACATGTAAAAGCAGTTGAAGAGAAGAAATATCCAAATCCAGGTGCAAAATCCTTTGAAGTCATCAGAAAAGCCACCAAGGATCCACTTGTGACTCTAATACTAAATTTCATCCTGTCACTGAGCAAGGAAGATACCCTTTCTAAATCAGTACCAGTCAGATGAGCATGCTTATGAAGCCAGACTTAATGAAGGAAGTCAAGTCTGTTGACAAACTTCTAAATGGATAAAACATCTCATCACCTTGATTATACAAAAATTGACTTTGGATATGTTGAAGAGAGAATCATGAAGGATTAGGCTGCAGAGAAGAAAGTTGAGCAGCAGAGTGTTCTAAGTTCAGAATAACTATCAAAAAAATGTTTGCTGGCCATTGTTAAGAAGTTACTGCAGAAGTTACCTTTGAAATATTCCCTAGTGTTCAATCTTTCATTCCTGGATCCCTGCAAGATGTTAGACTCCAAAGCAAAGGAACAATGCACCAGAAAGCTGAAAAAGGCTCTCAGTTACCTTGTGGACCAGGTCAGTTAGGAGAATTGTGATGGTATCATTCATCAGTATTCACAATTTATTGATGAAATTGTGGAGAGCAACCATTCTGTGTTTTCTGATTTTGATCCTATCATTGACAGAGTGGACACCCTGCTGTATGGATTAATGTTGAAGGACAAATAGTTTGAAAAGCTGTGGCAGTTACGCTGTCAACTGTTGTTACTGTCACATGGGCAAGGTTCAATTGAAAGAGGATTTTCACTTAGTAGACAAATTGAAGTAGAGAACATGAAAGATGGAACCTACATTGCTCAGAGATGCATCTGTGATCACCTAGGAGTAATAGGGGTATTGAAAAGGTAATCATAAACAAGACAGAGATAATTGTGCTTCTGGATGAACAGAAATGACAAAACCAAGAGGAGGAGAAAAGCCAAAAAAAGGAAGACCCTGCTTGATGGAATAGATGACCTCAAAACCAAGAAAAGAAGGCTTCAAGATGATAGTGATGCTCTTGTGATATCTGCTGACAAGCTGGTCCTAAAGACTGAGACCACTGGGAAGTTGACCCTTATAACTAAGTCCAACAATCTTTGTCAAAATGCAAAGGACAAGAAAGTGACACTCTAAAAAGTGGAGTAAATACTTGATGTAAAAATGACTGAACTGAAGAGCAACTAAATGCATGTACATTATTATGATACTAGTATTATATCAAGCCTGAAAATATTTTTCAAAATTGTCCAACCACCAGAGACTTCTGATTCTGTGCCTGGAAAGTAGTAGTATTAATTAAATAAAGCATTAGATAGTAACCTTGTCAGGCTCCCTCATTTTTGCTCTTCTTAGCAGTCCTTGTTCTGCATTCTCTTTCTTATTTACTTTGCCCACTTTCACACTTGCTGGATTCTTGAATTTATAGGAAAAGGTCCTTGAATTGGTTGTTTAGATAAGTTTGGGAACTCTGTAATAAGAACAAACAAAAAGTTGGATTAACCACTAAGAGTGCTTTACAAATGCTATTGAAAAAAATAGTAATTTCATATATATAGTGCTGAAATAAAAAAGAATACAATGTTAAAAAATCCTCACTGTAATTCTAATTTAATTTGACAGATATAAAATTGTTGGAAAATTATACTTCATCTTGTTATTTTTTGAAAAGAACATTAGATATAAATTTTTCTCAATGAAGAATTCTATAAGCAAAAATCATGCTAAGTAGACTGACAAAGAGAATGCTGATGCCATTTTAAAAAGTGAGATCCTAGGTCATCAGTAAATCTTTATAAGTTTTTTTTCCTTTTTGTGATTCACTGTCAAAGGGGATGACTAGTGCAATCAACAAAATAGTGTCAAAAGAAATGTGTTAAAGAATACAATTCAAGTTGAAACTGACTGGATATATAAAGTGCAACTTTCTAATCAGCAATTAAAAAAATTTAACTCAAAATATCAAAGGAAATATTTTTAATGTTATTCAAAACACTTTCAATTAAAATTTCACACCCTAAAATGATGAAATACTAAATCAAATTATAAGATCTTTTTAAGGCTAAAACAATATTGAACAGGAAATGTGAATTCTTACTCTCCAACACTGAACAACATGCAGTCTTCGTTTAAATTATACATTTTTTAATATGTTTGTATTACTGATTTTACCTTTTTTGTGTTGTGTTTTCTTGCTGTAGTTTCTCCCCATGATTAAAGTACAGTTGCTAAATATAATGATAATTAAACAAATAAAACAGGACAATGTGTAAAGACTTATGTAAATTCATTTTATTCTGCTTTAGATACTAAAGATGGAATCTGATAGAATTCCGAAACATTTATCCATGTCCCCTTTTTGTCAATAAACAATGTTGTATATCATAAGTGTCGTAATTTTACTTATATTTCGTTCTTGTTTAAATTCATACTGTTCGTGACAAACATTAAATTATGCAATTTTTAGATATTTGCAACCAAATTTTACTTCTTTTAAAAAGCTCCAGTCTTTCAGCTACTTAGTCAGAACCTACAAAATCTCTGTATATAGCGTATGTTTTTCTGTGAAATGAGAAAATGACCACGCAGAACAATCGCTATCTGCCAGCAGAAAGTTCTGCCTGAGCATAGCAAAATGCTTATAGCTTAATTAGAGTAAAACTATGAAATAAATGATCGAAAATGTTCCTAATTTAGCTTTATCTTCCATTGTTTAGTCCGTGTTTCTGATATCTAAATTACATCTGTATAATCTCATATCATGGTATAATATTCCAATCCCAGTTAGAATACTTTACAGGAGTCGAATTCAGTTTTGTGCTTTCTTTTTTTGAACTACAGGTCGGTTGTTATTCCATTCTTACATGTTTTAAACTAGGTTTTAAATTTAAAAACAAGAATTAAGCTCTATGGCTTTCAAACACGCTTACTCACAATAACTAAGAACTGAATTTTTTTATGGTTTTGTTAAGCAATAAATGATGTTACTTTTTATATGAGAGATAAAATCATTCAAACACATACCGTAAACTTAAATCATGACAGAAGTGTGAACTTCGGTCAAATACCATAGAATAATGCGCAGTACATGCACACTGTCTCTCGTTCGAGTACCTTAGGTGCGCGTGGGTTTTCACTTTTTCGTTATTTCCTGTTTGTGTAACATTTTTATATCTTCCGATATCAAACTGAGTATCAATATTTGAAGTTCAGATGCAACTGGTTCATGTAAAGCCGAGTTAATGATTAGCGTGTCGGACTGTGAATCAGAAAGTCGAAGGTTCGATCTTACGATACGCCTCTAAACACTCTGTAAGCTCGTTATAAAAATGACAGTCAATCTCACTATTCGTTTAAAAGTAGCCTTGTAGGCAGCGGGTTTTACAGACTGGTTGTTATATCTCTCCTGTCAGTTTAAGATCATTGACAGCTATGCTTTAATCTTGCTGTTTGGATCATGTATCGCTTAAAGTGCTGTTTAGGCTGCAAGTGCCCAGTCATATGCAGTCTCACAGAATTTTGTCCGATGAATGCTGGAAAGCCGTATTTGCTACAGTATTATCATTAATAATTAATAGTAATATGGTAACATTCAGCAATTATGTGTTACAGTGTCGATTGTGTCTGTAGCAGCAATCCTGTTGAAACTATACCCGTATTTTTAGTTGAGTATACAATTAGCGTTTATTCTTTCATCCCATACTTTTAGACATCTTTTCAAGAAGAATTTTCGAGTAGTATAAAAAAATTCAGAAGTTTACCACAGTAAAAACTCACTCGACACTGAAGTAAAATTATATTGATATTTCATTCATTATGTATAAAGGGAGAAACCTGTTTCGTAGCTTACGATATTACAAGTTTAACAAATTATTAAACAAAAATATATCGTTTTTTACGATAGAGAAATGATAAAATATATAGTAAGTTACTATGCCTCGATTCATAAAAACACCAATAGAAAAAATATTTGAGATTAAATGTGACTCAAAGAAATGTACTTGTATCTGTTGAATTAAAGCGAAATTAACATTCTTGTTGTTCAGGGTTAGCTGTTAGGCCTTAAGTATCAGCCTTATTTATTACGTTGTTAAGTTTAAGATAACGAACATTTAAAATATCAGTTCGTCAAATTTGTGTTTTCGTAATTTGTCACACGCGAAGTTATTATCTTTTTATGGGTAAAAAACCATATGTATTTTCACAAGCGCTCTTACTGAAGCCTTAGTGACCTCTATACACCACATAATTATATATTATGTAGCTTTAAAATGACTGTTGAAACTAAAGTAGAAGCTTTTAACGACGACAAAAAATCCTATATATACTTAACTACTTTTAAACATATATATGTGTGTTGGATATCTACCGATGGAAAACTAGGGTTATGCATGGATGGTCTTTGTAATTTTTTTAATGACATAGCTTACATAACGATATGACGTTTTCACACAAAACAGTTATATAGAAACACAAACTCTGACAAGTAAAACATCTACATTTCTCAATATAAAATAAAAACTCTGTTTAAAAGTTTAAAATGAAAAAGGAGAGATAAATCGCTATATTTGAATGTATGTTTCAGTTTAAGTAGGATCATTTTATTTCTTATTATAATTCGGCAATAATTCAAATGAACATGATCGTAAGATTTAAACTGTTAACCAGTGCTTTCCGTTGGCTTAGCAGTAATCCTAATGGCTTAAAATTCTAAAATTCGATGTTCGATTCCGAGGTAGGTATCGCACAGAAAGTCCATTGTGTAGTTTTATGGTTAGTAAAAACTATCTGTTAATCAGGTAGGAGTAACGTAAATACATCTTATGGTATATATATATAATGTGACGGTCAATCCCACTATTAGTTGGTAAAGAGTAGCCCAAGAGTTGGCGGTGGGTGGTGATGACTAGTAGCCTTCCCTCTAGTCTTACACTGCTAAATTAGGGACGGTTGGCGCACATAGCCCTCGTGTAACTTTGCACGAAATTCAAAATAAATAAACAAACTTACCTAAAGTTAAAATATAAACCTCAACTTTTTGATGAGTAAAAAGACAATATTATAAACGTATATTTCTCAAGTTCTTTAGGTGGCTCAGCGGTATTTCTGCGGACTTACAACGCTAGAGTCCGGGTTTTGATACTCGTGGTGGGCAGAGCACAGACAGCCCATTGTGTAGCTTTGTGCTTAACTACAAACAAACAAAATCAAGTTATTTAGAAATGTAAAGTAGATAAATTATTCAAATGAGGAAATGACAGATAATTTTTTTTGGGTAGTACCATATCTTTACGTTTAATCAGTTAACCTGAAATGTTATTACTACATATGCCATTTGGGTTGGAACATTTCTAGATGTTTCGGATTGTAGATTGAAAACTGTGCTAGCAATTCGAAGGGTTTCATCCGAATTACATAAAGCTCAATGCACTAACTAAATTCTGTGTTACGCACCATTTAAAACCTCTTTTAAACAACAGCGCCAACTTGATTCTATTACTACCGCCATTTTTCAGAAGACATAAAGCTTGAACGTATTTAATCCAGATGTATAATCGGATTTAAAGTTTCAAGTTAACAAAAAGGTAACCCCAAAGAATTGTTAGTGCTGGGAAACTGTTTGGAGGTTATCAGCTGTATGTTCATGTTTCGGGGGAGCACAACAATTGTGGCTTGTATATCATCTACGACTTATACAGTTAGGATGCCTGAAGCTACTCAAGACTTGAACCGTGAGTTTAACAAGCTCAGAAGTCAACATCGAATAAAACTAACTCAATTGAACATTTTGGTTGAGTGTATGAGTTGCAAGGTAGTTCCAAACAGTATTAAAGTTAAATGCAATCTATAAAGTAAGAAGGTAAAAGTTATCATACAATAAACTAACGGCAAAATTCTTAGAACTATGATTAAAAAAAAAGGAGACTAGATATTGCATTAACAGCAGCTAAACTGTACGACTTGCATTTACAATTGTGGGACGGGATGGATTCGTATAGTTGGTTAAGTAGTGAAAAGTTAAAAATCAATAACAAGGTGAAACTGATAAATAAACTAAATAACTTAATTAAAAAAAGGAAAGTGTAAAATGTAAACCTGATAATGAGATTCAAGCCGTGAAAGATACGTATAGTAAATTACTGTCGAATCCTAAAGTTCTTAACTTATCAAATGAGTGTGTGTTACCTAAGCAAATATAAATATTAAGGCTAGGCTTAAATTTTTCAGTGAAGAGGATTTTATTGTGTCTACAGAAGCATACTTTAAAAGATTAGAAGTTAATGATAGGATAAAACATAATTATAGTATTTTGGCATTGTGTATAAAGTTACAATCATAAATAATA